GTGAGCATTACACGTTGCCACGGAAATACTCCAACGACGGGGTTCCGATCCAACTTGGAACCAACTCGGATCCAAACTGGATCAAACTTGGACCTGACCTGGAACCAACCCGAATCTAACTCGGATCCAATCCTGAATTCTCGGATGTAACTCGGAATCGAACACGGATCCAGCTTGGATCTGTTTCCCCTCGCTTTCTCTCTTCCAGCTTCATCCAACAACTTTCGAGCCCCATTTCCATAAAAGTTTGCATTATTTATCGCGTTTCTCGATGCGGCCAAATTTCTTCGTTAAAGGACAATTGAAGTCAAATTTTCTAACTTCTTTAACGTTTTTATACATAGAAATACATTCAATAACGTATTCCATTTCAAATCCGGCGTCCAATTAGTAATAAACACCTGAATAGTAATCAAGGTCCTGTGACGTCACAGCCCAAAGTTGAGCGACGCCATTATGTAAACATAGTGCGTGCGGTGGTTAAATATTTATGTTTGTTTGTTATGTTTTTTGTTATTTCTCATGCTTATTTATCATGTCAAGACACAAACATGTAGCCTGTAAATGTACTTATATTCATGTACACACATATTACCTGTGTGGATAATGCATTCACGGTATATGTACATGACTTGCCGTGCGTAGATACATACATGTACATGTACAGATACATGTGATTCTGACCGAGCGTGATAAGCCCGGTGATCAGTGTACTCGCATGACTCATCTGGTCTAGCGTCGAACTGGTCTACAATAACCCTGGTCTTCTCATTCTCATGGCAGCATATACATTCAGGCACCGTACTCATTAATTCACAAACACTACAAGAACACCAGTATTTGTCTACAGTCCTATCGTGTACCGAAGCCTCCATTCAGCCATGTTGTGACTGTTCTGATTCTTGAGAAGTTTGCGCCGAGTCTTCGCGTTGCTTTTTCACACGATTCTCCTCAATTTCTTCTCGTGTATATTCAGGCTCAAACCTATATCCAACTGGTAAATCACTATAAATATCATCATCATCTGAGTAATCACTAGAATCATTGAAATTATCGCTTTCTGTTTCCATCTTATACACAACACTCAACTTGCGTTGAGAGGAAGGGTGTGTGCGTGCGCGCGCGCGCGAGAGAGAGAGAGAGCGAGCGCGCGTGAATAACTTATGTTAAATATGTGTAAATATTTTAAGAGAAACAGATGTTATAATAAAGGACTAAAATTCGACGACGGTGGCTTTTTACACGAATTTCGTTCTATATTTGTGATTTTGTTCGTTGCTTTCTCATTTCTTACCGATCGATCGATCGACCGATGAACCAATCAATCGATTGATTGCATAAACTAATAGATGGATCGATTGTTTGGTTGATGGATCACATGATTAATTCATGTATCAACGAATTAATAAATGAATCAATTAATTAATTAATTAATTAATGGATCAACTAATTGGGAGTCCCTTTCGCATTAGTCACCTTGCAGAGGAGTCCCCGTAAGTTACTTTCACTTTAGTCGCCGCGGTTACGCGACAGACGCTGACGACCACGTTGTCCGAAACAACGCTGGAGTACTGACACACGAACGCGAGGCAATTCGTCACTGCAGATGGCAGCACCTTACAGCGCGACGCGAGCATTACACGTTGCCACGGAAATACTCCAACGACGGGGTTCCGATCCAACGTGGAACCAACTCGGATCTGACTCGGATCCAAACTGGATCAAACTTGGACCTGACCTGGAACCAACCCGAATCTAACTCGGATCCAATCCTGAATTCTCGGATGTAACTCGGAATCGAACACGGTTTAACGAAGGAATTTGGCCGCATCGAGAAAAGCGCGATAAAATAATTCTAAACATTTGTTTCGAAAAATGGGGCCTCGAAGTTTGATTTTAGTTTTTTTATTCGAATCGCTGGATTTTTCATAATTCGCAAAGTGAAAGCGGGGAAAGCAGGAAATGTGTCGCAGATCGCAAGCTGGAT